ATTTTGTTTCTAAAATGTTTGATTTTTTTGCCCGGAAATGATTATTATTTCCAACTTTTCCGGAAAAATTTTGGCCTCAAAACTCTCTACCCACAGACTGGATACTCACTGCGTTCCACCTTGGGCATGGAGCTGTCGTGGTGGTGCTTGGAGCGCGACTTCCATCCCCGCAGCAGGTTGGCCGGGGACAGCGAGTTGAGGAAGGCGCCGAGGACGCCGTGCTTGTGCTCGACCACCTCCATGTTGGAGCCGCGGGCGCCCTGCGCGCTGCCGCCCCCGCCCCGCGCGCTCTCCGCGGGCCCTGCAATCCGAGAGAGGGTGGTGAGCGCCAGCGCTATAGCCAGGCATGGGAGGGGAACAAAAAGAAAAAAAAACACACAGAAAAAATGGAGTAGAGACCGTGATGTGCCATTTGCCAGGCGTCGGATGTTTTTGTTATTACAATGGAGCTCTTTTTATTAGTGAAAGTACTCTGCAGCTGATGGAACCATACTGCCTGACAGACATTATCTTGTCGAAATGAGCCGAGCAACGGACTTCCGTTTGGCATTCGTCCGGCGGGGACCCGTGCAGAACAGCAAATAAAGAAAATAAAACCACACGGCATTGCATGCAAGTCTAATCATTCACAAACACGCGGAGCGTAAATAGCTAAGAGATTTATTGTGGTGCTTGTTCGAGGCAGCTGTTCATTATTCGGAAACACTACGAGAAAATAACTACCTGGAGAACGACATGAATAGAAAAACACAGAGGGTGCAGAGAGGGGGCCGAATCGTGACCATGCAGTAAAAAACTAAAACAAAAACAAGAATTAAGTCTATACTTCGTGGAGGAACAATTTTGTCCACAAAAAGCAAACATTTTGAGCCCATAGAAAGGTAATTTGTGTCTGGCACTTCAAATGCCTGCTGTTTTTCTTGGTTCAAAATTGTACTTTTACAATAGTGTATCATTCACCTTACGATTGATGTAATATTTTTGAAATTTGCTTGTGGTAGATAATACCTCAGCTTTAAAACATGCATCAAAGCAGGCCATGCGTTAGCCGTAACATTGAAAACAAATAAAGCAACAACTAAAAAACAGACATGGTGACAGCATTCGAAAATTTTCTGATACCCGCTAACAACAAATCAAACTCACACGACACAAACACGAGCGAGCAACAACACAACGCAGCCCTGAGCACAACACACATCGAAGACAAAAATACAGTTGTCACATCGAGAGTCCAACAACAGCAACAAGGACAAATATAGCATCAGCAGAGAAGAGTAGTACATTATGATACAACAACAGCACGACGCATATATAGAGAAAAGAAATATTATAATTTTAGAAGAAAAAAAACAACAACTTGATAATAAATAATACGATGGACAGTGTACCTGGTACCGAACTGTCCGAGTTGCTGGACGCGTCATCCTCTGTCCACGTGAGGCCCGTCTTGTTGCTGCGCATACAGGAGCACACCCTGGCGCACCCCGACGGCATCTGCACATCAAGCGAGCGCGTCACGTTCGTCTGACCTGTGACCTCCGGCCTGATCACACCACACGGGTTGGAAATTGACCCGTCTATACCCACACACATTAACCCTATACAGACGATAGGGGTCTCTTAATTACACAAACATTCGCTTCACACGCCATGCTCCCGCTCAATGTTGTAGTGCCTTTCGATTGGGACGGCAGTAGTAGTAGTTTTAGTAACATCAGCCCAACACACACGCACGCTCACACAGGCACGAACGCACACAAGCACACAACACCACCAGCCACACCTCTGCTCCTGCTCCTGGCTCGCTGCTGCAGCCTCCGCCGGGCCCCCGGTGACACTGGGGTGGAGGCCCTCCCGGGCATCTGACACACGAGCACGACACGAGCATAGCATTAGCAACAAAACCTATTTTGGGTTTCTACTTTTCTTGTGTTTTGTGGTGTGTTTTGCTTGTTTTGCCAAGTCACAAAAGGAAAAGGTATAAGCCACTTTATGGAGCGCCAAAACTTTAACAGGGCATTCTGTATGAGTTTTGTTATTTTGTTTCAGAGACATTCATATAACGGCGCTCGGGGGCGCTCGTCTGTCCGACCGAGGCTGGTCGTTGTGCATGGTCTATTTCTATTGCAGCTAGTTGGGGGGAGGGAGGGGATGGGAAAGAGGGAGCGGAGGGAGCGGAGGGGAGGGGGGCGGGAGAGCGACAATTGGATTAGGGTAGTAGCAGACCGTGTGGGGTCCTGAGACGAAGCCCCACAGCGAAGGCCAAGGGTAGGTGTGGGCTCGCCGCCGCGGCGCGGGCCCCGCGGCGGGCACGCCACGCCTCGCCCTTGACGCCTACCTGACTACTTGTTGGTGTACGGCGGCCACGCGGGGCCCGCGGCTCATATTTCACACGTCCGCCACACCAGCTTGACTCCCCTCACGCTCCAAACAACCAAAGAAACACTGGGGTCGGTTTTCCTTTTCAGACATCTTAAAAATTTTGCTTAAACTTTTAGAAATTTTTTTTTTCGGTATTTTTCAAATGTGTGTAGTCTAAGCAAAACAATCTCTATATGTTATAACCATCACCTGACGCAAACAAAATATCTCGAGGTGCGAAAAACCAAGAGAGTATAAATTGCAGCATGCTGCAGTAGGTCCCTTTCAACAAAGAACATAAATCGGCAAAAGCAAAGCATCGAGGGCGATGCCGCGCTGCTGTGCTCAGTTTGTCAGTTCAAAGAAGAGGCGGCAAAGTGCTGCGCTCGCGGAACATTACTGGCGGGGGCCCGTCTAGCAGCTGCCCGCCTCACCCACGCCAAAGCCATTGAGCTGCTGTTGAGCCCAAATAAGAAATGAGCGGCGAGAGCGAACGGCGTGCGGTGGAATTTATTGCAAAACGCTTTGGGGAGAGGGGGGGGGGGCGGCCGTTGTTGGGTCGCTGGGCTGGGCCGGGCTGGGCCTGCTAAAGCCAACGTCTCGAGACAAGGGGCAGAGCGGAGATAAGCCCTCCCTCATGGAATCTAGCTTTCCGAGCCCTTGTCTTTGCTCCTGCTACTGCTGCAGCCCCCCAGCCCCCCCTGCCCCGCGTCCTGCCTGCACGGCTGCTCAAACTTTGCGGTCCACGAGTCGGTGTGGCATTTCTGACGTGCCCCTGCCTGCGTCCGCAGAGCGCGGCGTGGCCTGGCGAGGCGGGGAGGGGCGGGGTCTGTGCTCGCACCTGGCTGCCGGAGGGCCCTCAGGTGTCGGCGGCGGCAGGCGTGTCGCCTACAAAGGGGCCTCGGCAACAGTAAGGCTAAGGCGCTCCCGGGCAAAGACTTTCTTTTATTCCTCGAGAGAGAGGCTTTTCTCCAGACACTCTTCCCGCCGGCGTCCTTTTTTGTTTTATTTTATCCATTCCTGCTGCTTTTTCTTTTGTCCTTCGCGCGTGTTACACCCCTCTCCCCCTCCTCACAACCCCCAACCGCTTAGTTATAGAGATATGCAGATAGGGGGAAGGAGGGGGGCAAAGTGTAAGAAGCAGCAGAGAAAAGGAAGAAGAAGATGAAACAGCTCCCGTCGCCCACCTTTTAATTAATTAATTAATTCCAGCTTCGCACTTTTCTTTCTTTAGCGCGCGGCGAGCGGCGAGCGGTTGGCGGCCGGAAGCGCGCGAAACACAACGGCGGGACCCGGGGGA